CCACGCACCTGCACGTACGCCAGAAAAGTTCAACCTAGCCAGTGAAGAAATTAATGCCATCTTGTCATGCCATCTTGTCATTGTCACGTCATCTTGTAGCAAAAGCCACGGAAACACACCTTTAAAAACCACGCTGGTGAGTCGGAAGGGAAATGGACATACCACAGGACTTCAGATAATGTGGCTGTGTATCTGGAGGGCGAATACCTAAGATGTATATGCCCTCTGGAAACCAAGAAACATACACTGGGATATTTATCTTAAGGGACGCGTTCTGAAACAAACCTGAAATAAAAGAAGGTTCAAGTATACACATGGGTCTTTTGGGACTATCCTAAGAGCCCCAAACTGGATACAGTTTAAAATATCCAACAAGGGGAATCTTTTTTTTTTTTTAAATTTTATTTTTCATAAACATATAATATCTTTTTATCCCCAGGGGTACAGGTCTGTGAATCGCCAGGTTTACACACTTCACAGCACTCACCATAGCACATACCCTCCCCAATGTCCATAATCCCCCCCCCCCAGCCCCCCTCCCCCCATTAACCCTCAGTTTGTTTTGTGAGATTAAGAGTCACTTATGGTTTGTCTCCCTCCCAATCCCATCTTGTTTCATTTACTCTTCTCCTACCCCCTTAACCCCCCATGTTGCATCTCCTCTCCCTCATATCAGGGAGATCATATAATCGTTGTCTTTCTCCGATTGACTTATTTCGCTAAGCATGATACCCTCTAGTTCCATCCACGTCGTCGCAAATGGCAAGATTTCATTTCTCTGGATGGCTGCATAGTATTCCAATTGAACTACAAAACACTGACTGTGGTAGGCCCAATAATGCCCCCTCCCAAAGGGGTCCAAGTCCTAATGCCCAGGAGCTGGGAACATGCTGCTTTATGTGGCAAAAGGAACTTTGTAGACATGATTACGTTAAGGGTTTTGAGAGATGGGGAGATTGTCCTGGATTATCCAAGTGGGCCCAATGGGGACAAAACAGAAACAGAGGTTAGAGACAGAGAGGAGACTTGAGGTTGACATGCTACTGGCTTTAAAGCCAGAGGAAGGGGTCCTACGTTAAAGTATGTAGAGGCCTCTAGAAGCTGGAAAGGGCAAGAAAAAATTCCTTCCTAGAGGTTTCAGAAGGGACGCAGCTGGGTTAACACCTCAATTTTAGGAATTCTGACTTCCAGAGCCATAAGATAATAAATTTCTGTCCTTTTAAGCCACTAAATTTATGGTAAATCTTCACAGGAGCAATAGGGAGTTGATACACTAAGTGGTAACCACCAAAACGACAAAATAGAGGATTGTGAAGCAACTCAAAATACTAACATGTGCAGACGGGAACAGTCTGTGCAACAGTTACTACCCTACACCATACACATACAAACAGATCAAGAGTCACAGAACAGATGAAAATATGCCAAGAGATTATAAGACCTCAGAACTGGTCCCCCTGCTTCTGCCCTCAAGTTCTTAGCACTCAGAATAGCCAGAGTGGTTCTTTTCAAAAATGCAATCAGATGACCTTACTCCTCTGCTCAAAACCCTCCAATAGGCTCCTGTTGTCTCAAGGAAAAAGCTCCAGTCTCAAGAAGGACCTAGAAAGCCCAGGTCCATTGGAGTGCACGGTTCTGGGGCAAGGCACTCCTGTGTACCCTCTGTGATTGGCCTCCTCCTACGTATGGGGGTCCCTCCCCCTCCCCCGCCCAGGCATGTGCCTGCTCCTACTCGCTCCATCTCTCCGTCCCTCCCACCTGCTGCTCTTCCTCGCTGACTCCACTCTGGCCTCACCAGCCAACTTGCTATTCCTGGAACTCCTTCATACTTTCTGCACTCACTGTTCCCTCTGCCTGAAGTACCATATCCAGGGGTAGGCTTCCTGGAACAAAGGGCTGGGTCATCTCCTGTATTTGCTCTCCAAATACATAGTTACATTATCTGACCGAGTGAATATGTCTATTTCCCTACAACCTCACCAGGATGGTGTTTTATCTCTCCACAATATGCTCATCACAAGGTAACATTTCAGTTTTGTGTTAACTTCTAGGTTGAACCTTTTGTGAGGATGTGTGTATTACTATAAATAACATATCACACATACTATACACCTAGATACCTTTTTGTTGTTGTTGTTCCTTTTTGGTTCCAAATTCCAAAAGATCCAAGATAAGAAATATACCAGATGAGCCAGGAGCGTTTGTAGCATTTGTAGCATCAGTGAAAATAAGCAAACAAAACTCCACAGGGACGGGGGGAATGTCAAGCAATAAAGGAGTGACTAGAAATAAAGGGGCCAAAGCTCCAACAGTCTGAGCAAGAAAATCAAGCAGTGTTGCATTATAACTCAAAGTATATCACAAAGGAGTCCACAGTGACATAAATGAGTGACTGAATGAACAAATGGGGAGAGAACAGACAATCTCCCACGCAGAAGAATCCTACATAATTCTGTGTGTGTTTTTTAAAGATTTTAAGTTATCTCTACACCCAATGTGGGGCTTGAAGTCTGATCCCAAGATCGAGTCATAAACTCCATCAACTAAGCCAGCCAGGCGCCCCAGAATTCCTCATAATTCTTACAGATACTCCTCCTTCAAGGAAGAGGACTGTAACTCCCTACTTTTTAAGTGCGGGCTGCACACAGTGACTTTCTTCCAAAGAGTACAGTCTGGGAAGGGGGAGGAATGAAACAGTAACTCTCTAGCGGAGAAATCTCACAAAACATCGCTTCACTCAGGTAATCAAGATCAACATTGGCAGTGATGTCATGCTCATAGCATATGTAATCTTGATACGGTGTGATGAGGGCGGCACGTTATCACCCTGAAACACATCACCCCAACCTAATCATGAGAAAACATCCAACGAATCCCCGCTGAGGGACATCCTGTAACACACTGGACGGTAATTCTCAAAACTGTCAAGGTCATCAAACACAAGGACAATCTGAGAAACCGTCACAATTATTAGGAACCTAGGGAGACATGACAACTAAATGCAACATGGTATCCTAGATGCGACAAAAAAAAGGGGGGGGCAGTAGGGAAAACCAGCAAATGTGAATGAAGTATGACTTCAGGCAGCAATGACATACAGATGTTGGTTCATGAACTGGGATGAACGTACCATGCTAATGTAAGATAATGATCAAGGAAAATGAGTGTTTCCCACTCTGTATTGTAGCTTGAGAATGCTCTCAATCTAAAAAAGTTCTAAAATGTTTGTTAAAAATAATTCCAACAGTTCACCCACATTGTGTTCGAAGGTTCCTCCCTCTTCCACGTCATGCAGTTAATTCTTCCCGAGTGGTCGGTGGTTAAGTCCAAAATGGCAGCTTCCTTGGTTGTGTTCTGCAAAGTGACCCCAAAAGGCCAAAAGGTATTGGGCTTTATTTTCAGGTCACTCAGCCACCCAGCAGAAGCTGAGACATCATCGACTGCTGCTTCTTCCAGAAAGTGTTCCACAAAGTACCCACGAGCCTTGGCCTCCATCTGTCTGGTTAACAGAAGGTTCCCACAACAATCAAACCAATGGGCTTTCTCCACTCGCCCTTTCAACCTCAACAAATGCTCTGTAGAATGGTTTCTCCAACAGATCATAGCTTGTAGATAGGGATGTTCTTCCTTACACATCAATCCTGCTTCTCCTCTTGCCTTCCAAAGACCAAAGAGACATTCCCATCCCTTTGTCTCGGGGCATTTGAACAGGAAGCCAAGGGAGCAATATGAGTCACCACATTAAAAATATAGAGAGAGAGAAGAAAAGGACTGAGAGAGAAGAAAAGGACTAAGATCTTCTCTATCCAATGTACTTGACACATTCTGGACCCACCTGCCTGCTACCCACCGACCAAGTTTTTTTTTTTTTTTTTTTTTAAAGATTTTATTTATTTATTTGACAAGAGAGAGATCACAAGCAGCCGGAAAGGCAGGCAGAGAGAGAGAGAGAGAGAGGGAAGCAGGCTCCCCGCTGAGCAAAGAGCCCGATGCGGGACTCGATCCCAGGACCCTGAGATCATGACCTGAGCCGAAGGCAGTGGCCCAACCCACTGAGCCACCCAGGCGCCCCCCACCGACCAAGTTCTTAACCAAGCCATTGAGATGTACGTTGGGCGTAGCTGTGAGCCTCTGATCTCGCAGTCCTTCCCTCCCATCTGAAACATTCTCCCAGTCTCTTGTTTATTCTAGCTGCAGTACTCCTGTGTGCCTCCCACACAAGAGTCATCTTTCTCTTCTCCAAACTCTCAGAAGCCCCATGTTATTTTGCATTCCCAGCCCTGCTGGTTGTGTTTCATCAGCTTATCTCTCCACTGTAAGTTCCTTAATGGGATGAACTCATCTACTTTTCTGCATAACCTTGGCACACCGATCACTCTACCTGTCCATTAAACATGAGCAAATATTTGAGTGCCTCCCATAGATGCCTCTCACAGATCTCTTCTTGCAACAACTCAATGAGGTAGGCACATAATTACCCCCATTTTATAGCTGAAAACACCGAGGAGTGAAGCAATTGAGCGGCTTTCCTGGGGTCACTTGGAAGTTAAAGAGACAGTATGTGAAGCGAAATCCTTACTCTTAATTACCACAGCAAGTCCCACTGCCTCCCTACCAGTTCAAAGACCCCTCGCAAAGTGTAGGGATTTTAACAAGCGGCGATCTCAGAAGGAAAGTTAAAAACTCCTCATCTAAGGGCCCCAAACTGATTGAGAAAATTTTTATTCAAGTGTTCTCCCCAAGACCTCAGAGTCACACCGAGGTTGTGTACAGCATGGACAACAGGACTCAAGGAAGACAAAAATTTCTTGAGGAGGCACTGCGGTTAGCCATCATTCTCCACACGTTGACCAGTTAGAGGGACGGATGGACACAGGCTGAACTAATGGAGAAAAATAGGATAAGGACGTCTGTAAGCTTAGACTGCAACTCCAGGCAAGCTCATCCACTTTGAGGAAACCTGGCAGAGAAAAGGCATGGCCCGGCACGGGACACCATACCGTGTGAGCACGTCCCCCATAGAGCAAGGTTCTCTTCCGCCATCTGCTTCTCATTTCCCACTGGCAATTTTGTAGTTGGATGATCAGCTTCTTAGATGATTTCTAAAAATAAGCTAGCATTAATTGAATTACACAGGTACATGAGTATTTACGGTCACCTTGTGGCCTACACCTAAATGAAACACCTTCCTTTCTAGGACAAGGAAGAAGGGGCTGACCTCCTCAGCAGGTGCAAAGCATCAGAGCTGGGGCAAGGCTCCCCTTTCTCTAGCATCATTACCAGCAGCACCCCCGGATGATGGGCGCCAAGAGCATCTGCACCCCAAGGCAGCAATCGCTGTTAACGCCCGCTCTACACAACCAAGACTCACCACCAGGCTTGGCCAAAGGGGCCAGAGAACCTCTCTACTTGGCTGTGCTCTTGACGTCTCTCTCCATGTCAGCTGCGACTTCAGAGCTTTGCCCAGGAGCAACACTGACCTTCCTAGATCTGCTAGATGTGTTCATTCTTTTTTTTTTTTTTTTTTAAAGATTTTATTTATTTATTTATTTGTCAGAGAGAGAGAGAGAAAGAGAGAGAGAGAGAGAGCGTGCGAGCACACAGGCAAGCAGAGGGGCAGCAGAGGCAGAGGGAGAAGCAGGCTCCCTGCTGAGCAAGGAGCCCAATGCGGGACTCGATCCCAGGATGCTGGGATCATGACCTGAGCCGAAGGCAGCTGCTTAACCAACTGAGCCACCCAGGCGTCCCTGTTCATTCTTTTCTTTAGGCCCCCACTATCCCCTGTTTACCAGACCCAACTGTCTGGTTGAGCTGTCAGCCTCGAGACCAACACCTCCTCTGCTGATGTCCTTTTCTCAAACAGGAGGTGGACCTAGTTCCGAGTTTCTGAAGAAATATGAATGAGAAAGGAGACACACATTATCACGATCCTCAGGTGGACTGAAGGGAGTACACCAGCAAAGCCTCCGTGAGAAATGGCAAGGGACTCAATCAATCTCCAGTGAATCCCGAATATGCCCAAAGCCCAAGGTCTGGTTTCAGATGCTCTTGAACCCCACCACGCAACAAATGGACAGAAGCGATCCCCGTAACTCAGCCAGCCAGCATGATTCTGGAGTAAAGAGAATTGCTGTGGACAAAGCTGTATTGATTAGAAAATGAACAAGAGACCCTTCCTCCCTCAAGGAACTTACAATTCCAGCCGGAACTTAGAAACCAGACATGCCTTCAAAGAACCGAAAATACACACCAAAGAGTGCTAAGTCCATAAAAGAAGTATGAAGAAAATGTTATCTCCTCCACTCACTATTTATTATGGGGTCATGGGAAAGATTTCAAGAGTTTCTAGAAGCAACTCCCCCTTGGACAGGTTCAGAGAGGCCCCACTAAGAGAGCAGTGGGGGAGCACAGGAGACCTGGAACCCGAGGGCGAGATGGAAGTTGCTGGAAGCCAGCTCGCTCCTTTCCTGGCCTCCTTGCACCCACATTGTAGAAAAGGTTGCAATCTGTTTATTATGAAACACTTCCTGAAATACCGCAGAGAAGAGGCCATTTGCAAAAGCAAAGAGCATAATTCTAACACGTTAACGCTTTCTGAAGTGTGGCTCTGTCACTAAGCGATATCGCAGGACGGTGAGCCAGCAGCACCAACCCATCTTCTGATCTGGAGCGATCTGGAAAGAACAACCGGCAGATGGGCAACATTCAAGGCTTACTCTGGAGCCCGGAGGCCTGCTTGACCCCAACCCCTCCCCCACCCCACACTCAACATTGTTGCCACCATTCTTTCAGCTGCATTATCTTCCCCTAACTCACAGTGCCCATCTCCCCTAATCTATTGTAAATTCCTTGAGGACAAAGCCCACTCATTCCCTCCCCACCCTGCCCCCCCTCAGTGTTACCTCCTTTGCCCTCAGCTTAAGATCTGTTATAAAAAGCACATTAAGAGTGAAACGAAGTAGTATTTACCTAGCTCCTACAGACCATACTCCCTTATTTCAGCTTATTTTCCCAATAACCCACTGAGGTGGGTAACTTTAGCCTCATTTTACAGGCTGTTCTTTGCTGAGAAGACAAAGGAGTTGGCTCATCTTTGACCCTTGTGCACTGGACATAATCCAATGTCAGGTCCAAACCTCTCCTCACTTTCCCCCGCAAAACGGACCCATTCCATCCAGACAGGAGAAGGATCAGAAATCCTACAGGTAGAACAGATGGATACTCATAAAACCAATGCTAAACTGAAACACTGCAACTTTTAGACGTCAAGAGTTAGTGGAGAACAGCCTCGAAGGTTCTAAAGCAGCACTCATACCTGACACATGACCCTTGAAACTAAATTACTGCACATATTTTGAAGGGTCCATAGACTTGGGCTAAAGGTAACTTTCCTTAACCGTGATGGCCATGGAAGTAGTATCTGTTCTATCTGTTCACCTGTTAATGATTAAAGAAGAAGTAAGGAGGAGTAGCTTCTAACTAAGACTGTAAAGGAAGTGGCCGAGTCTTGCCCCCTTCTCAGGGATAATTCTCATGAACAAAGGAGATCTATTGAAGCAACATTGCAAATTCCAGACAATCAGGAAATTCACGATCCCTTTACCTATTTACCTTCTACTGATCTGTATGTGTACTTTGTGTGTGTGTGTATGGTATATAGTAGGACCCATTTTAAGCACCCACTAAAATCCTTGGAATTTATTGTCAGTTCCAATACACCTGATATGACAAGCTCAAGTTCTATTTCTCAACACAGTCCAGGTCAAACTCCATTCCAATGACTCCTGTGGGCTTCCTGAAATTCTCTGCTTTCCTCGAGTTTAGTTGTCTATCATTGTACTTAAAAGCACAATAATTGGTTAAGAATAGAGAAAGTTGTTCTTGATGTACAGAATTTAAAAATGTAACTAGATATGGACTATTATAACAGATCTAAAACCTGCTTTTAAGAGACTGTTTTTAAAAGATTTTATTTATTTGACAGAAAGAGAGATCACAAGTAGGCAGAGAGACAGGCAGAGAGAGAGAGGGGGAAGCAGACTCCCCACTGAGCAGAGAGCCCGATGCGGGGCTCGATCCCAGGACCCTGAGATCATGACCTGAGCCGAAGGCAGAAGCTTAACCCACTGAGCCACCCAGGCGCCCCTTAAGAGATTTTTTAATCCAAAAGTAAATCTCATCTCCTGATATGGCTCACTTTTTATGAACTGATACTAGTCCCAATTAGTCTTGTGGAATATTTCTTCAATTGTCCTATCCTCACCTTTACGGAAAGCAGAGGAGGGACCATCACTGGTATCCCAGTTCCTGGCTATGGGTATCAGGTGCTTCAAATCTTGTTGACCCTGCATATTATTTTCTCCATCTTATAACATCCTGTGAATTATATTCTCACAGTCTGCATATCGTATTCATCTGCCACCAAAAACACACAATAAAACAGTAAACAAAATCACCAAAGCAGATTGTATGAAACTGCTCTCTGCTTTTTCATGCTTATCGGTATACTTGACTGTAAATCATCTTTTAGAGTATTTTATCCTTTTTTTGTACCTATTTTCCATAGGCTTTTCCATAGTATTTTATCAGTAAATAATAGTGTATTATGAGCTATTACAGTTTGTCTAATCATTTCCCCCAGTGTTAGATAACAATGTATTCTTTCATTATTAAAAGTAACATTCTTTTTTTTTTTAAAGATTTTATTTATTTATTTGACAGACAGAGATCACAAGTAGGCAGAGAGGCAGGCAGAGAGAGAGAGAAGAGGAAGCAGGCTCCCCTACGGAGCAGACAGCCCCATGTGGGGCTCGATCCCAGGACTCTGGGATCATGACCTGAGCGGAAGGCAGAGGCTTTAACCCACTGAGCCACCCAGGCGCCTCAAAAGTAACATTGTCCTAATGAGATTTGTTTTTCCTACTTTTTTCCCCTGCCAAGAGAAATTACTGAATCAAAGGTTATGTTTGTTACAATGGTTTTTGTTAAATAATTTTGTTGCCCCTTCAGGAAATATGTACTAATCTGAATGCTACCAAACGTGCAATTATTATCCCATTCTACATGTTCACACCAACACTGTAACTTACCATGTTAATTATTTTTTTAAATCTCAGTTTACCTTAGGTTGGATTTCTTCCATCATTACCATGTTTGGTTCTTTTCACACATACTGGTCTTTCTCATGTGTAAAAATGATACTATTTAACTTTTAGCCATTTATCCAAATAAAGACTAGTTGTAACATCATTCTATCTGTGCCTTATGTATTATGGACACCAACCTTGTGTGTGTGTAGGCATATTTTCTCTATTTCATTTCACAGGTGTTTTAAAAATTCTTATTTTACCCGTTCTAATCTAATTTCCTGAAACAACTATGTTAAGATTTTATTTTCCTTTATATTTTGGAAGATTAATTAGACTGAAGATTTTACTATCTCTTGGAAATAAACCAAATATACTTCGTTTTAGATGACAGAAATTAAGGATTTACTCTTGCTCTTCAATAACCATTTTTTAAAAAAAATCAGAAACAAAAGATGTTACTACTGATGATAACAGAAACATAAAAGATCCAAAGAAACTATGAAAGACAATCTTATGCTAACAAACTGGACAGCCTAAAAAACTGAATAAAATTACAAGCCAATATTGATGAATATAGATGCAAAGGTCTTCAAAAAAAAAAAAAAAAAGAAAGAAAAGAAAAAAGGAAAACCCAGCAAATCCATTTGAACAATACATTAAAAAGATGATATACCACGATCACGTGGGATTTTTTGCAGGGATGCAAGGATGGTTCAACATCCACAAATCAGTCACTATGATATACCATATTAACAAAATGAAAGATAAAAATTGTATCATCATCTCAATAGATGCAGAAATCAGAAAAAGCATTTGACAAAATTGAGCATCTATTCAGATTAAAAACTTTCAAAATGGGTTTAGAGATAAGAGACCTCCATATAATAAAGGCTATATATAACGAGCCCACAGCTAACAGATACTCAACAATGAAAAGCTGAAAGACTTTGTTCTAAGATCAGGAACAAGACAAGGATACGCACTCCCACCACTTTCATTCTACATAGTATTGGAAGCCCTAACCACAGCAATTTGGCGAGAAAAAGAAACCTAAGACATCCAAATTGGAAAGAAAGAAGTAAAGGTGTCGCTCTTTGCAGATGACATAGTATTATATAAAGAAAACTCTGAAGAGTCCATCAAAACCCATTAGAGCTAATACATGAATTAAAATGCAAAATGCAAAGTCAACACACAAAATCAAGATACAATTTCTTTTTAGGGTTTTATTTATTTACTTGACACAGAGAGAGAGAGAGAAAACAAGCAGGGGAAGTGGCAAGCAGAGGGAGAGGGAGAAGCAGACTCCAGCAGAGCAGGGAGCCTGCTGTGGGGCTCGATCCCAGGACCCTGAGATCGTAACCTGAGCTGAAGGCAGTAGCTTAACTAACTGAGCCACCCAGGAGCC